GGATCCTCCGTTAAGGTCCCTTTGATTGGCTAGTAGCCAAAACAGATTCCCAAATGGACAGCTTGCTCTTGAACTCTGATAAGAAGGGATTCTGTGGGGACTGTTGGAGACTTCCTGGCTGTGAGAGGGAAGTTAGTGCACGGGAATGTGGGCCAGACTCCTGGGGCTAAAGGACCTTGTTGGCCAGGAAGGCTGGGTTCTCAGTACCTGCGACAGTCCGACATGCTAAAGTCGTGTGTCCTGGAAGTGACTTGTGACAGAGCCTCTAGGAGGGCAGACATGCGTCTGGAAGCACAAGGAGAACGAGAACTTTGTAGTTTTTATTAAAAAGATACATACATAGATTTATAGAAAGTTCATGCAATGCAGAAAAGGCTACAGAAGAAAATGATTTTAAAAATCAAGCAATAGTATGGGAATAGGTAAAGAAATGGTAGACAACAAAGAATAAGTCTTTTTTTTTTTGGCAGTGTGTGGGCCTCTCACTGTTGTGGCCTCTCCCATCGCGGAGCACAGGCTCTGGATGCGCAGGCTCAGCGGCCATGGCTCACGGGCCCAGCCGCTCCGCGGCATGTGGGATCTTCCCGGACCGGGGCACAAACCCGTGTCCCCTGCATCAGCAGGCAGACTCTCAACCACTGCGCCACCAGGGAAGCCCAGAATAAGTCTTTTAACCTCTACTCCCTGGTTCTTCCCATAAACCAGATTACTAGATACTTACCTTCCGAAGATATTCACATCGTCTTTTATTTTATTTTTATTACTTTAAAAATTTTATTTATTTATTTATATTTTATTTTTGGCTGCGTTGGGTCTTTGTTGCTGCGTGCAGGCTTTCTCTAGTTGTGGCGAGCAGGGCTTCTCTTGTGGAGCGCGGGCTTCAGTAGTTGTGGCATGCGGGCTCAGTAGTTGTGGCACACAGGCTTAGTTGCTCCGCGGCACGTGGGGTCTTCCCAGACCAGGGCTCGAACCCGTGTCCCCTGCATTGGCAGGCAGATTCTTAACCACTGTGCCACCAGGGAAGTCCCCACATCGTCTTTTAAATAGAAGCGTTCCAGTTTCCCTCGAATTTGGCAAACAAAAGATCACAGTGATACTAATAAAACTGCTACTCCCTCACCACAGCAGACCCACCCCCTTAACCAGGGGTACCCGTGTGCCAGGGTCCGCTGGGGCCGTGGGGCTGCACACATTTTGCCCACCTGTGTCCTGACCTGCCATGGGGGCCAGGAGATTTGCGGTGGGTTTGTTGCTGGAGCTCCTGCCGCCCCTCAGTCGGGATCTTGCATTTCTGTGGATTTGTCGCCTGCCTGCAGACCTGTTGCCCCGGCTTCCATTGTTGATGACTTTCCTCTGGTTCACATCTTCGCTGGCTGGATTTTATCACCAAGTCGTTTTTTCTGGAAGCTCTTGGTTCCATACGTTCTTGAATCCACATGAGCATTAACCTGTTCCTCTGTGTGGGGAGAGCTTGCCTGATGGCGTCAGTGTCCAGGCAGAATGTCCCGTGTTGCTCCACCACATTCTGGCACCGAGTGTCACAGGGTCGCACCACACCTGGTGGGGGAGGGAAAGCTGCCGGGCACTAAGGACTGGGAATGCAGAACCTGATTTTTAATCCCTGGGATTGGGGAGATATGTTTATTATTAAACAAGTATTGGCCTTTAAAAGTTTGGTCATAGTTGCTGGCAGTTCATTGAAACTAAGAAAATTAATTCTGGGACTTCCCTGGTGGCGCAGTGGTTAAGAATCCGCCTGCCAATGCAGGGGACATGGGTTTGAGCCCTGGTCCGGGAAGATCCCACATGCCGCGGAGCAACTAAGCCTGTGCGCCACAACTACTGAGCCCGTGCTCTAGAGCCTGTGCTCTGCGACAAGAGAAGCCACCTCAACGAGAAGCCGTGCACTGCAACAAAGAGCAGCCCCCGCTCGTCACAACTAGAGAAAGCCCGCGCACAGCAACGAAGACCCAGCGCAGCCAAAAATAAATAAATATTTTAAAATATAACAAAATATACAAAGCATTCTTAAAACTCAGCAGTAGAAAACAACAACAACAGAAAACAGAAAAGAAAATTAATTCTAAGGTTTTGAAAGTCAGTGATCTGTCTGTACCTGTGAACAAGCAGGTGATGAACCACAGTGCCTAGCTTACCTAGTAACTAAGCCAGGTGTGTGCTGATTTTTCTTAGGGTGGTTCTGTCCTAGACTAGGAAATGTTGCCCCTTGTTGCAAGAACGTCTGTGATCTCTGGGGTAAGCGGTGCTGGAGAATCATGACTTAAATGCTCAAGTTCCACAGGGAATTCTTTTTAGTCAAATTAAGTAGCTGACTGCCTCTAGACGTCTCAGGTAATCATACAGTTCTATAAGCAGATACAAAAGTATTTATTGACATTTTCCTGTGGATGGGTCTAAAAGCGCTATTTCGTGGGCACTGAGTGACTGGGAATACAGAATACTCTGTCAGAGTTGTATTTCCATAACTACCTAAGGAGCAAACAGTTACTTAGCCAAGTAGTAGTTAAACTTGACGAAGTCATCGTAATTCCGTTGTGGAGTAAATGGACGAAATTCCTAGTAATGGAGACTTGACGAGAATATGTTCCGTCATCAACATCACTGAGGGTCCCTGGGCTCTGTGCGGCCCTGCCATGGGGCGGGGGGTGGGGGGTGGGGTCCTTGTGTCCATCCAGGTGAGGAGGGAGGCTCCAAGCACTGCAGCTACTTGGCCACGCCAAGCAGCTGGAAGCTGTCGGAACTGGGCTTGAGAGTCCTCACACCCTGATTTCAAAGCCCACCATCTCTGGGATTGAAGTGAGGCGTGTTTAATTTCCTGCCCTCAGCTGTACACCACCGTCTCTTATGCTTCGTGCCAAGGTGGCTGACCTGGTGTCCCTCAGCCAGGAGGCCGCACCCTTTGGTTTGGGTTCAGGTCCTGACTTCACTTCTCTGTGTATGTGTCTCTCTGTCTGTGACATAACCGTTGGAGTGCCTGCGTCGTGAGGCTGCAGCGGGCCAGGGGAGCCCACCCCCTGCGGAACCCAGTCTGGAGGGAGTTCATGTGTGTGTCCTGTGTTGTGATCAGAAGTGACCATGCCACCTGCAGGAGGGGGCACGCCTGGGCCACTCCCCCACAGGCCGGGACACCACCACTCCTCTTGTCACATCTTTTCCTGTTTCTTGATTTCTTTCCACATTTTGTTGAAATACTCCTCAGATCTGCGAGCAGTACTTTTCCCAGACTCTTGCGTTTATACGTTCTTCTGACTTTACACTTTGTTGATAGTGGAATCGTAAGGTGAAACTCCTTTCTTCTTAGAATTCGAAACGTGTTTTGTTTGGGGAGGTTCTTAGCGCCCAGGATGTAGAAGTCTGGCCTTGGTGCTCTAGCTGGTGGGGCCTCAGTTTGCACACTTGTGTTTTCATTCAGCTCTAGTTTTGTTTTCAATTGACTATTTTTTCTCAGTTGTCTGTATTCTTTGCCTTTCAAATTCCTGCCTGGCAGATTTTCTCATTTTCTGTTTTCTCTGTGCTGGTTTTGTTCAGACGCTTCCTAAATTGTGCCTTCTCTGTGCTCTGGCCTTCAGCCGTTTCAGGCATAACGTTGTACCCGTCTGCTTCGTTGACAACTCACTGCTCAGATAGTGATTTCCAGAGACTGTCTTATCCTTCTGTGCCCCTTTTTCTTCACAGCTTAGTGTAATCTCAGTCTCTGAGGATAGCAGAACTATTGTTTAAGGCAGTTTCAGGTTTACACAGAAATTGAGGAGAATGTACAGAGAGTTCCCTTGTGCTCCCTGCCCGCCCCAGTCTTACAGTTTATTGGCATTGGTGTGGTACGTTGTTTTGAGTGCCGCTCCAACATTGATACAGGGTAACTCAAGTCTGTAGTTTACATCAGGGCTCACTCTAGGTGTTGCACGTTCTGTGGGGTTTTTCAAACATATAATGACATGTATCTGCAGTTGTAGTATCAGAATAGTTTCACTGCCCTAAAAATCCTCTGTGCTCTGCCTGTTCATCCCTCCCTCTCCCAACCTCTGGCAAACACTGATCTTTTTACTGTCTCCATAGTTTTGTCTTTTCCAGAATGTCAGAGTTGGAATCATATGGTCTGTAGCTTTTTCAGATTGGCTTCTTTCACTTAAATGCATTTAAGGTTCCTCCATGTCTTTTCATGGAAAACACAAGTTTGCTGAATAATATTCCACTGTCCGGGTGCACCACAGTTTATTTATCCGTCACCTGCTGAAGGACATCCTGGTTGCTTCTGAGTTGTGGCAACTATGAATATATCAACTTATTTTTAAGTAGTAGCCTATAATCACATACAGATCATTAGATGAGTCATGAGTTTAGAAATTATGTCCGTCCTCTTGTCTTTGAACTGCATGTTATTTAGAAGTGTGTCGTTTAGTATTTAAACACTTGAGGTGTTTTCCTTTTGGGTCTCTAATCTGTTCGGGTTGGGGACATACTGTGTATGATTTCAGTCCACTTAAATTTGTTAAAACTTGTTTTAAGGCCCACCATGTGGTGTGTCTTGGTGATTTTTAGAACGTGTAAGTTCTGTGGGTGTGGCTGTGGCAGAGTAATCGGGTCACGGTGGTGCGCAGTGTTCTCTAGACTGTCGGCATTTTTCCTGGTTCTGTGTGTGTGTCCTGTGAGCTTCTGAGACGGGGTGTTAAGATTTTTGTGACTGTGAAGTTGTCTGCTTCTCCCCTTATTTCAGTCAGCACTTGCTTCCTGTATTTTGAGGCTCTGTTTCTAAAGTGTGTCTCGCGGACAGTGTCTAGTGGGTCTCTTGCATTTTTATCCGTTTTGACAACCTCTTCCTCTTCATGCAGTTTTCAGTCTGTAGAGATTCCTTTTCGTTTTCGCTTCAGCTTCCTAGCTTCGCCTCCTGACGTCTTTAGTTAGAGGTTGCCCAAGGGATTGCAAAACACACACTTAAATTTTATCTGTACTTTTTGATGTCTCCTCTGCGTTCTCCCTGTAGACTAGCCTGCCATGGCAGACCAGAGACAGCGCTCACTCTCCACCTCTGGGGAATCCCTGTACCACGTTCTGGGGCTGGACAAGAATGCAACCTCGGATGACATTAAGAAGTCCTACCGGTAAGAGGCCTGGGCCTGGGGCGGGCGGCTCCCGCCCCTCCTGTCTTTTATCTGCACGTGTTTCCCCGGCCTACTCGCTGTTTCACTGGTAGCCATTCCATTGCATCTTTGTGTGTGTAGTGTGTCCCCTTATAGCTTACGATTATTGCCTTAATGTTTTCTTGGCAACAAAAGAATAGCGGTTTGTGGGTCATGCATACTCCCTGCCCTGGAACAGATGGCTCGGGGGGCAGGTCTGGATGTGCTGAGCTGTGACGGCATGGTCTCCACACCCCGGGGTAGCCTTCCCACGTGGCTAAGCTTGCCCCTCCCGTGCGGTGTCCCTGAGCCCCTGAGCAGCTGTCAGAGACGGACGCTGTCGTTGGTGCAGACAGTTGACACAGTCCTCTGTGTTCTCAGCTTATCTCCTTATCAGTATAATAAAATGCCCGTCTGTGCTGCACGCTCCTCGCCTGTCCCTCCATTTGGCAAATGTACAGTCAGGACGCTAGAGGGCGGCAGCGGGGTCGGAAGTTCTTGGGAGTGCCTGCAGGTCAGCTCTCACCCGGGCACTCGCAGCTCTGTGGGTGATGGTTCGGGACGACGGGAGGTTTGCCCTGAGACAGTTGCAGAGGTTTCTGTTGAGCCTGGCGTTCTCTGGTTCTGTGGCCGGCTGGAAAGGGAGGTGGTGACGGGTAGACGTTCCTCTGCTGGCCCTCCGTCCCGGTGGATGAGCGCGAGACGTGAGGCCAACAGATGGTTTCGGTTTGCAGGAAGCTGGCCTTGAAATACCACCCTGACAAGAACCCAGATAACCCAGAGGCCGCGGACAAGTTCAAGGAGATCAACAACGCCCACGCCACCCTGACGGACTCCACGAAGAGGAACATCTACGACAAGTACGGCTCGCTGGGGCTCTACGTGGCCGAGCAGTTTGGGGAGGAAAACGTGAACACCTACTTCGTGCTCTCCAGCCGCTGGGCCAAGGTGAGGCGCAGCGCTAGCGCCCGCAGCCCGCCGGGCGGCCGGGGGCCCGCGGCGGGCTCCTCGCCGCCTGGACACGGGCAGAGGCCCGGTCCCAGCCGACGGTAGCTGGCCTGTGGCCCGCTGCAGCCGGCCCGCGCGCGCAGAGCCACGTCCGTGCCCAGTGGCGGCGTCCACAGCATCTTCTTTCGCGGGTCACCGCGGTAGAAATAGGAAACGAACTTTTTCATCACTTTGTGGGTAGACTTATTTTCGTGATTAGGGAAGACTTGTTAGAAATACCTAGCTTGAGAAACTTGTGAAAAAAACACTGTTGTTTTATATTGTGACATTGCCTGGTTTCCTGATTCTATCCAAAGCATCTGTCGTGTAAGGCCCGAGGGCGCGGCTCACTGCAGGGCGCTGAGCTGTCGGAAGCCGGTCTGGCAGCGGCCGGTCAGCCCCCCTCCCTCTCAGGAGTTACCCTTCTTTACGCAGCGGGCCTCCTCCTTCCTGCCCTCCTGTCCCCGTGTTCAGTGTTTTCTTTATTCCCCTTGATCTGGAAAAGAGTCCGCTGCTGGTGTGAGGACCCCTCTGTGACCCTGGAGGGGGTTGGGGGTGGGCGCAGGGTGAGAGCTGCACCCCGGCCTTGCCGCACAGCCACGTCCCCCTGCCCCCAGGCCCTGTTCGTGTTCTGCGGGCTCCTCACCTGCTGCTACTGCTGCTGCTGCCTCTGCTGCTGCTTCAACTGCTGCTGCGGGAAGTGCAAGCCCAAGGCGCCCGAGGGCGAGGAGACCGAGTTCTACGTGTCCCCCGAGGACCTGGAAGCGCAGCTGCAGTCCGACGAGCGGGGTGAGTGTGCCCGCCGCCCGGGGCGCGCGTGAGGGGCGGGGCCGGAGCGGGCCCTGAACGTGTCGCCCTGTCTCGTCAAACAGGAGGGCACTGACACTGTGCGGGAGTGTTTGTGGTGGCGGCGGGACGGTTGAGGTGTGAACGTGGACGCTGGAGGTAAAGCAGGCGCGGAGGGCTGTCCCCGCCGCGGACTGTGGTAGCTGAGCAGGCGGGGAGGGCCGAGGGCAGAGGCCGCTGAGGAAGGTCGTGTGGGGCGGAGGTCCTGGCAGCCTCGCCCCGCCCTGGGCGCTTGTCTTACGACCTCCGACCCCGGTCGGGCCACCAGGTGGCCGAGCGTGTCGCCCAGAGATGGTGTCGGGGGCCGAGAGGCCCACCGGCCCGACCTGAGGCCTTGCGTCGCTTGCTTGCAGAGGCCGCAGACACGCCGATCGTCGTCCAGCCGGCGTCCGCCACGGAGACCACCCAGCTCACAGCCGACTCCCACCCCAGCTATCACACCGATGGGTTCAACTAAATTCAGGAGAAGCTGTGATTCGAGGGTCAGTCAGCACCCAGCCACTCGACCTTAGAATCATGGACTGTAGTCCCAGAGGTGGGGCGGGAGCCGCCCTGGCCCCGGGAGGGCAGCGCCAGCCCGCCTCTGTGCCCGCCCACCCGCCGATCCCTGACACACGAAGTGCGTAGCATGCAGTGTTTAAAGCAGTTTAGCTACGGTCTTCTTCTGTTGTTTTCCTTTTTTAATAGCATGTGCAGGGTTACGTTCCATGTCTGTCTGTATTGTGAGCGTGTTGCGGCCAGGCCGCATTCCCCGGACGTGGGGCCGCCTCAGGGCTCTCGGGCAGGTCGACGCAGTGGTTGGACGGCCCGTGTGGTCCCTCGCGGTCAGGCGGGCTTGGGCGGGATGGCGCTCCGTTCCCCCTGCCCACGGGGGCCTGAGGCAGGTGCTGCCTGGCTGGAGCCGTGGGGTCTGCTCCCTGCCCCGTGCCTGCCAGCCATGTGGCCACAGGCAGGGCCTCTGGACTCACCTGCCAGGAAGGAGCTGGGCCCACTCTCGCAGCGCCGGGGCGTTTCTGTGGCATTCGTACCAAGGACAGTCTGTGCGGGACCCGTTCACCTCGTCTGCTTAGCCTGTGGCAGTTGTTTTTCACGTCTGACCTGAGGCCCCCGTGCTTCGAGTGTGCTCCCTCCCAGGGTGGGGACGTTCCCACACGTCCCCAGGCCATGAGCTGGATGGAAGGGGTCCCTCCCGCAGCCTCCACTCTCCCCTTCCCTGCATCGTCCTCCACATTCCTTCTCGCCCACCTGGCCTCTTGGTAATGCTTTTTGAACCTCTAAGAACCACAGATGGCAGCAGCGGCCCAATTAGTGGTGGTCAGAGGGGCTGGGAGTCCAGGCTGCCGGTGGCGAGTGGGCTGCACAGCCCTCCCCTCTGTGCTTCCCAGAGCTCTCACCCCCCCGCTTTCCTCCGACTGCTCCCTTTGGCAGTCGTTGATGGTTTGGGCAGAGCTAGAGACGTCGGGCTCACGGAGAAAGGACCAGCTGGACCAAAGGCATACTCTGGGCAGAGGGTTGGGTCCCCAGGTGGCCCTGGTGCCCTTGGGCTCGTTAGTCCGCAGCCAGACCACAGAAGCCCCGCTCACCTCTGTCCGTGCACCGTCTGTGGACTGTTGGAAGCCAGTCTGTCTTGTCCGCGTCCAGACCTGTGGGTGGCCCCTGCTCTGAGGACTTGGAGACGTGGCTGTGCTGGGCCCGTGCCAGACCAGCACCTGCCCCGGGACCTGCATGGCCCAACTGGGTCTGGTTTCCCATCATGCACCTCGTGACTGCTGGGCTCCTCCGGAATGTCCCGTAGGGAAGGCCGTGGGGCAGGGGGCTGCACACAAGGAGGTCAGACGCACCAGGACATCTTCCCGAGCCACTGATTACCACCACCCCACCCCAGCCCCACCCAGGCCCCGGCTTGCCTGCTGCCGTCACGATGCTGTGTGGGGTGAGCATCCGGCTCTGCAGGCACCAGGTCTGTGGGCACTTGTGGGTTCCGTTTTGTTTGGGGTTTTGCCCTTGAAAACAATCACGAAGACGTTTAACAAGAGGGGAGGGGTCTGCGCTGATGTTAAATGAGGAATAATCTGCTGAGATCCTGCCTCTCAGAAGGACAAGAAATCCGTTGTTTGACCTGCCCTGGAGCAGGGAGGAGGCCAGACACTAGGACAGTCTTAGGTGCCAATTCCAGGCCAGCAAGAATTCAGCCTGAGAGCAGGCCCTAGTCGGCCTTCCTGACGTTTCTGGAAATAACTTAGGAAATGAGTTGTTTTTCCCTAGAGCGGCCAAGCACGAAGTTCAGAGGTTGGGCTTCAGGTAGGCAGCCGCCTTCCACAGTGACTGTGTCATTGCTTCGTGGGCAGAAAACTCCCGAGGCGCATCACGCAGGTCAGGGCGGACCCCTGCCGGGTGTCTTTTGGTTCCTGAATCTTTCTGATCGTCCGCTAGAAACGTGATGCTCCCCTGGAGGTCAGAAGGGCAGGTCCGGAGGTTTGTTGAACCCAGTCTCCTGTAGAATTTGTAAGAACTAAATAAATCGTGATGGTGATGAGAATAATCCTCAAGGCGATGCTGATGACTCCACGAGGGCTGGGCACCCCGGGGCCAGGCGCAGGGCCTGGACCACGCCCCCGCACCTGACACCGACCCTGACCCTGACCCACGTCCACTTTGTTGATTTGGAGGCAGAAGCCCTTTCAACGTCTTCCCTGTCTGCTTTCAGGCCCCCCCACTGACTGAAGACCTAGGTCCCTGGTTGCATTTCCCTTTTCCTTGTGTGGCCCATCTGCTTCCCTGGTGAGCGGGGTGTTGTGTCTGGAGGGCCCCCTGTTCACGTGCGCGGAGGGGACAGCCCTCTCCTGCTGTGGTGGGAACAGGAGCGCCTCGGCCCTCCGCCGAGGCCAGTGCTGGGTGCCCTGAGGCTCTGGCAGCACTGCCCGCCTGTGGCCTGCCGGGAGCGTGGGAGAGGCTGCAGGGTGCGGACGGGAGCTGCCGCGCGTACATTTCTGTTTTTGCTTGGTGACGTGGTCTCTTGTCCTTCTGGGCGTTTTTCTGTTTTCAAACTGCTGTAGACGTTACCGCTCGTGCGTGAGCTTTCTTACTTCTCTGAAGAGTCGAGCAGCCAGCACCGCTGGGGCCCTTTAGGCGTGCTGTGTCCACAGGGCTCCTGCTCGGGGAGGGGCCCTGCCGGGACCATCTGGCGTATTCTAACCGCGGGCGGTCTGTTCCAGGGGAGCTTGTGCAGTGCCCACTGGGGAGACGGGCAGCCTCCGTGGCACCTGGTGTGAGACCACCTGTGAGGGGGGCGGGCACCGGCTCGTGGGCTCTCCCTGGAGGGGCCAGGCTCTGCGGGGGCAGAGCCCAGGGGTCCGGTCCGTTCTTCCCTGGCTCTCAGCACATCCTGCCAGGGGGACAGCGCGGGGGGCGGTGGTGGTGGTGAGGGGGGTGAAAAAGTGACTGATCTCATTCCTTTCCCAGCGTTCTGAGCTGTGAGCCCATGTGACACAGGACTCACCTGTTTTGCTGTTTTGGTTGTGACTCCTCCTCCTGTGGAATTGGCAAAAGCTACATTTTTACTGTCCTTTCAAGCACGGTTGGCGTCGTCTCTGCTGTAGGTGTGGGCAGTGTGTGTACATATGTGTATATGTATATATCACCCAGCGGCGTGAGTGCCGCCGTCCGGGGCAAAGCGACAGTACAATAAAAGTGGCTCCAAAACAGCCTCTGGTTTCTTGATGAGTTGGGGCAGGAGCAGGGGGTCTGGGCGAGCTCCTCTGCCAGGTGCACAGAAGGAAACACCGGCCCTGTTGTGTCCCTGGAATCAGTGTGGACGGCAGGCCGGGCGCCCGCGCGCTGCCAGTGTCGGCTCCTCCAGGGTAGGGTACAGGGCTGCCAAGGTCACACCCATACCTGGGGGCTCACCTGACCCAGAGGTGAGCGGCTGGAAACCCCTCCCTCCCCTGAAACATTAAAACCAATTTTCTAAGCATCAGATACAATCAGTGACAAAGCCACATTCAAAGGGGTCTCTGTTCTGACCCCAGATCCACCCTGGAGGGTCCCCGGGGGAGGAAGCGGCTGGGCCTGGGGTCCTGTGGGCAGCAGCTTTTGGTGATTTTTGTCTCCCTGGAAATAAGGGTGTTTCAGGGTGGGCGAGGGGAGCAGTTTACACTGAAACATGTATGCGTCATGGTTAGAAGCTAAATGCAGGCGCGTGGACCGCGATCGTCCGTGTGCTGCTGTGTCCTGCTGCTGGGACCGACCTCCGCCCTGAGCCCACGCACACACCTGGGGCTGGGCTGGAGGGTCACGGTGGTTTCCCATGGTGATGGTCTCTTATGTCTGAATGTTGACCTATAATAAAGATAACTTGTAAAAAATAAATGTTTTCACTGCAGACTGGGTGTATGTTTTATTTAATGATCCCTGCATAATCCTGCTTTAGGGGAGTCTTGCACTCTGGGGGCAGCTGACCTCGGCGGCCCTCCTGAGTCCTCGGGGCTGGGACCTCACTACCACCTGCCTGGTCTGAGTGTGGACAGACTCCCCTCCATTTTCTAAATACCACGACTGGGGTGAAGGAAGGAATGTTTGAGCTGGGAGAGCCACACGCCAAGGGCAGCTTGGACTGTGTGTGGGTCCCGGAGCCCTCCTGGGACACGGCCAGCAAGCCAGTGGCCAACAACCACTGGTCCCACTGTCCCCTCCTATCCACCCAGCTGACCGTCCTACCACCTCAGCCTCTGGGAACCATCCGTGCCGCCCTCAGACAGCGGCCCCTCCATCCTGCTGCCCGTGAGCAGCTGTCTGGCCGGGTGAGCGGGGCTGCAGCTCTCCAGGAGAGCAGGCCAGTCCTGGGCCTGTCCTCAGCTGGAAGCACAAAGTCAGGAAGGGGCTACCACAGAGGGCACCTGGCCAGCTCCTCTGCCCCTTGGGTAGCCCCACCCACGTCCAGCTCCTGTCCCTCTGCCTGCTCCACCCAGGGCATCAGCGTGCAGTATGCTCGGGTCCTCACGCCTGGACACCGCTGCCCTGTCTTCTTGGATTGTCTCCAAGCTGCTGGTGACCCGGCCCTGCCCTCTGGCATCTCCCAGGCAGGGTCCGTCGTCCTACCTGGCCCCCAGGGAGTTCTGAGATTTACCTCCCCCCCATCACCTGGACGTCAGGGAGAGAGGAGCAGGGGACAGCCTGAGCACCACCACGGCCCCCCTGGACGTAGTGCAGGCAGGTGCCTTTGTGCCTGTCTCCCACCCGAGACAAGCATCCACTCTTGGGCTCTTGCAGGAGGCGCCATCTCTGCCTCAGGGCGTGTATGTCCATGGGGGTTCACGTCCACCACGTGTGCCCTTCTGTACACATCGGGGTGCTCGGGCCCTGAGGACCCTGGCATTCGGTGGGAGAGGCCACCCTAACCCAGGAGGCCCAGGGGTCTGACTACCTGGCCCTGCAGGGCTGTAGCGAGCAGGTGCCTCCGGAAACACCAGGCCCGGCTGCAGGCGCCTCCTCCCACACCCCGGGAGGCGCTGGCCCCTTGTGCTTGTGCCCCCCTCGGGTGGGGTGCTGGGTCTTCCGTGTCCTTGCCCTTAGCGAAGGGCCTGGCGGAAATGATTTGAAAAAATCTAAACAGCCTAAAAATACTAAGAATTGTGTAACAAACACCTTGAAACTCTTTATTCGCACATAACAAATCTGAAGGGGTTTAATTTAGATTTTCCCACAAAAGAAAACATGACAGTGAAGACCCATTTGTACCTCTCCCAGGCCAGAGGTGGCCTGCTAGGCACTTCAGCTCACTTCTCTTTGTGGTTTTAAACCCTGCCTACCAGTCTCAGCATCCATAAATAACATGTACCACTGATTTGTAAGATTTACATAAGTTGTACAGCACTAAATCACTGTGAGTGTTCGTTTAGTGCAGGGTTTTTTCCTTCCCTATCCATGTGGCTACATCTAGGTCTAGGTAATTTCCGTACAGCATATTATCATATGAATTAAACACAAGCGGTTGGTGGTCTTGTTAATTGAGGACGCAGGTGGGTTTTAGTTCCTGGCTGGTGAGTGAAGCTGAGCTGCGCTGCCCTCGCCGGGGACCATCGCTGGGCAGGCGTCTGGAAGCCCTCCCTTGACTGGTGGCCCCAAATGCCCTGCACATCCACAGAGAGGAAGGCCCCCTTCCCATCTCCCTGGCAGCCTTGTCGTCCTCACACGTTTCTCCTTATTTTAAGTATTTTCTATCTGGGATACTTAGAAATAGGACGTGACAACGTGACACCAACCCTTAATGATGCGCATTCAGGGTGGTGGGCAGCGGGACCTCCGCCCCTACTGGCCCTGGTTTAGGGGGACCGAGGGCCGCGGGCGTGGCTGAATGGCGCTTCGGAGACTCCGAAGTCCCCCCGATGCCCCTTGCCCTCCCGTGCCCCGTTCCAGGACCCTGGCTGAAGCTCCTGGCTGAAGTCGGGGTCGTCGGGGTCGCAGCGTGCGGGCAGGGTCCTAGGCGGACCTCCCGCCCCCCTTCCCCGCCTCACTCGCAGCACCACAAGGCAGCCCAGCCCGTGGGCGCGCGGGGCGTGGCCACGAGGGGCGGGGGTCCGTGCGCGCCTGGCGTCACCTGCTCGAGGGGAGAAGCGTCTCCCCGGTCGGGCTCCGGGCCCGAGGACGCCGCGTGGCCTGTCCCGGCGGGAGGAACCCATCGCTGTGGGGCGGCCCCTGCCCCCGGCGCGCCGGGCCGCCCACCCGCTCCAAGTCCCGGGGACTCGGCTCCCTCTGGCCTCAGGGAGACCCCCCTGCTCGGACTCCCCAGAACTCCGGGGGGCCTCGAGGCAGCACCCGCGGCGCCCGAGACCGCGGCTCTCTCCAGCCCTGTCCACTCGGCCCTGGCCCTTTCCGTCCGGGCGCGTGGCCCCCAGCAGCCCTGGGCCGGGACACTCCACTCGCGCTGGGACTGGGTGGGGTGGGGGTGGGGGCGTGGTGGCGGTTGGGGAGGGTCCAAGCCAGCGCCAGTCCCACCCCCAGACACGTGACGCCGGGGCGGTTCTCAGGCCCCCCAGTGGGCAGCCGATCGGTGACCAGGGGCGCCGAGGGCCCTGCACGGGGAGTTAGGCCGGCCCGCCCACCCGGCAGTGCGGCCGCCCCAGCGGATGTGTCGCTGCTGATATCACCGTAGCTCCCATCCTGGGGCCACAGACCTGGGTCCCCGTGAACCCCGTGCTAGCTGCCCTTTTCTTACCCTTCTAACCCAAGCACAGCTAAAACCCACCTGCTGCCCCTGCCCTGTTCCTTCACATCTGAATCCACAGCCCCCTCCCTTCCTGCTTCCAGCTTGACCTCAGAGAGCCTGGAAGTCTCCTAGCTGCCCGCAGCATCTCTGGCTGCGTCGTGCCCCGGCCCTGGCCCAGGAACCTGTACAGGTGCCCCTTCCTCGGACTCACCCTGGAGCACTTAGGGCTGCGTCAGGCGGGGCCCAGGATACAGGCGTCTTGTGGGTGCGTCCTGACGCCAGGTGGCCCAGCGGAGACACCATAACGGGCGGTGTCCTTGCCCAGGTGGTACCGACCCGCCAGATCCTTCTGCCGACCGGCCCAAGTGCACGTGCCCCTCGCCCCGTGGCAGCTGCTGCTGGGGAGGGGGCGGCACCTCGCGGGCTGACGAACCTGAGATTGTCCCTGGATGCTCACCATTCTCAGGTTGGACAGTCCTGGAGGCACTGCCCGGGTGGCTGATGGGGCCTCAGCAGGCACGTTGCTCCTCTGGGCTCCTCACCCTGTGTCCCAGGAACTTCTGGACAAGTGAGGGAGGGGCTCTGGGTCTGCCTCCCGCCCCGCCGTCCTGTCCCGGGCTCTGAGGCTGCAGGCTGCAGCCCCACCCTCAGCTTCCCGCTACCCGCCGACCCCTCGGCCTCTGCTGGGCCCACAGGAGCCCAGGTGCCCGGAAGGCAACACCAGGGGCTGCTAATCAGTCCCAGCTGCCACACAGCCTGAGAGGTTTTCCCTGGGGGTGGGCTCCTCCGGCCCTGAAGGGCACCACCCAAGGTTTCTTCCCAAACGCAAAGCCCCCGATGTTTCCAGCGGCTGTGCTGAGCCCTGTCCCCAGGACAGCCTTGGACCTTGGATCCTGGTCCTGTTTCTGGGACCAGGAGGGGCTGGAGGGATTGCCCCTTCCTCCCATTGGCACCCGGAAGACCCTCTGTCAGGGCTGTTTGGAAGGTGACCCAATTCTACCACCCCTTAGGGTCCTGGCAGGAAGTGGCCCAAGAACTCCCCTAAGCTGTGACCTCGTCTGTCTCTGAGCTGTCCCTGATGAGGAACCCCAGCCTGAGCAGGCAGGGCTCGGCCCTAGGCCACCACCGACCCTCGAGAAGCGGAAGGAAGCCGTCCCATCCCCCGAGGCTGGTGGCTGAGTGAGGTGGGGGCCCTGAGCTGCATCACGCACACGTGTGTGTCGGGCCATGTGGCCATCTGCACATGCACGAGCACATGTGGGTCTGATTTCTTCTGTGGGAGCTGCTCATCCTCTAGCTGGAGTCGGGGCCCCTCCCAGGACGACCTAGCTCCTGCCCAGCTCATCAACAACGGTTTGCCCCACTGCTCATCTGGGAAGAGCTGGCCAGACAGAAGGGTATCAGCCGCATCACAGCACCTGAGCAGGGCCAGGCCTGCTGCAGCCTCCAGGCTCCAGGCACAGAGCACAGGATGAATGAATGAACCAACCAACCAACCAACCAACCAACGAATGGGGCCCTGGAGATATGGGGGAGGGTCCGCTCACCAGGTGGGAGGAGAGGCCCCTCCTGCTGACCTCGGGGCTGCGTCTCGTCTACCCCGGCGCCTGGCCACCTCTGGACAAGCTCCCGCCTTTATCTGCTGCCCTTGGCCTGGTCCCCACCCAGGGACTTCCTGTCCCCGCCCCATGACAAGCTTTTCCATGACATGGCCTTTGTGAGGTGAGGGGAAACCGAGGAGACCAGGAAGGCAGGAAAGGGCAAAAGCCAGGCCAGGAGGCGGAGGACGGGTGGGGGATGGTTCTGAGAGCTCACCCGCAGCAGCTGCGAATCGATCGGCTCTCGAGCCGGGCAGGCAGCACCCTCGCCGGTGCCCTTGCCCGGGGGTGGCGAAGGCAGGGCGGGATGTGGTTTCTGACCCTGAGCGGTGTGGCCGGCTCAGTGAGGCACGGGCCCCATCCCCTGCGAGCGCGGTTCCTGCGAGGCCAGGGCCGGTTCCTCACTCCCTCCTCCAGCCCCGCCCACACCCATTTCCGCCCCGCCCCCGCTGCGGACAAACACGCTGCGGGAGGTAAGCGGCTGCGGAGGCTGTGGACATCGTGTAAGACCCAGAGCGCCAGGCCCAGGCCAGGTGGCCGCCAAGGGGCCCGTCTAGCAGGGCCAGGAGCTGCAGGGCCAGCTCCGTCCTCTCCTAAATCTGCACTGACCCTGGACGGGGAGAAAAGCCAAGTGCAAGACCAGAAGCCCCTGTCCTGCTGCGGGGAAAGCGGGGGCCCACCCAGGACCCAGCGGAGGCCGGGCTCCTCAGTCCCTCTCTCCACAGTGGCCTCGCCGCCTGGGGGCTGGGGCAGCCCTGGGGGCCGCTCCGCAAGCCCAGGGCCCAGGCAGGACGCCACCCCCGCACCCCAGCTAACCAGTCACAGCTTCATTTTCAAGTTTTATTTTACAAAATGTTGAGGCAAGGTACACCGGTAACACGTTTTTTAATTAACATAAGTTAACATCTGTACCCTGTAGGCCCCGGGGAAGCGGGAGGGGTTGGGGGCGGGGAGGGCGGCTACCCCGCGGGGCCCCCTTCCTCCTCATCGCTGCCGTCGGGGACGGCGTCGGTCCCGAAGTAGCGGTCGCCGAAGTTCCCTGGGGGCAGAAGCAGGTCCCTGTGGTGGGGTCTCAGGCCCAGCCGCCCCTCCCCCCCCCCCCCCCCCCCCGC